ATTTGCTTTAGCAATAATGGTAAATAAATTAAATTTTATCTTATGACATTCCTCTTCTTAATTATTGACTTATCCATCTCCATAAATTGATATACAGTATCAATTTCTAAAGTAAATCCATTATTACATTTTAGACATTTACCATAATAATAAACTACACAAGTTTACATATCACAATTCTAATATTATATCAATTAAAAATTTGAACAACCATTATAATTGTCAAGATTACCATCATCACATTATTATTACCCTTAAATTATTTAATCTCCGCAGATGGTTTCACATTAATTAAATTCTAAAATGAAATATAACAAATAATTCACCTAAGCCATATATATCTTCATTATCGTTTTAATACTATTCTAACAAATATATATCATCTTATATTGGTTTCTAAACAGAAATAAACATATTTTTAATTCCACAAAATGTTGAATTGGCTTTATTAAAATTATTGTCTCAATCAAATAGTATATTTAATTCATGATTATCGTTACTCAATTTTTTCTCTTACAGATAAAATTTGAGTTTTATAATCATTTTTCCAATTTTAATCTTTAATCGCGTAATGAAATTAAATTCTAGATATCTATTCACCACCTAGAATTATTTCAAATTTAACATAAACAATTTATTGTATATTCTCAAGGACAAGATGAAAATTAAATTAAGCATTCACCCAAACAAATGGTCCTCCAAATATTCTTTTATTTTAAAAATATGAAAAGTAAATATCGCCTCCTTACTTAAAACTATATTTGTTATTTCTACTATTCATTTTCTTTATTTAGTAGTTGAAAGATCATAAAATTCTTTCAGTACATATGCTTCCTATTAATCTTCATCCTATTCAACTATTTCACTCGGAATAACACAAAATTTATCTTATTATTCAGTGTAATCAGGGCAATTATTAAAGCATAATCCATTGTATAAATAATAACTATTTTGAAAGACTTTTCAAGTATTTTTATTTTTGCATTCTTAACAATTCAATGCACATACTAAATATTATATTGTAGAACTATTT